TGACGTACAATAAAGTACTGAAGTGCATATTATTGACGCCACTTAATAGACATTTACACAAAATCGTCCTGAAACTTTCATTTTCGTGCTTACTTTCTGTCAGGAAATTTTAGTTTCCATGACAGAGTAGACTACGTTTCCTGTCGCTTGTCACTTTATTGGCCGCATTTTTGACATTCCCAAATGTCTATAATGACTCCTGTCATCACTAACAGATTGACATTAATCAAAAGTTCTATATAAAAATTGAAATTTTATATTAAAAGACGATTTCGAGTAAAATTTAATACAAAACTCGTCAGTAAAATGTCATTACCTGACTCGGAAATTAAAGTACTCGTACTAAAGGCCTCGCCAATAATGTATCATTTTCCTGACTTTTATGTAAATAACTATTAAATTTGCATTTATTTCTTTGGAGGAAGCATTGAATGGCGGAAGTCATCGCGCTATTTATTTTCTGGTTTGTGACGTTACCATTTATTAGAAACAGGGAGAGCGGTATAACATTTGAGGAAATTAGGTAAAGATAAAGTGAATTAGTTAAACAATGTTCTCAACAAGGATAAAAACACAAAAGGAAATTAGGATGGAACAAATAAGAAAATATTATAAAAGAAATGGATACGGAAAGGAGACAATTAGAAGAAAAAATTCGTTAAGCCGCTTGCGAGCAGGAGGCGAAGAGTGCACTTTCAAATTTGTTTTTTTCGGTTTTAATAGCGCTTATGGACATTTCATGCCTTAACGAGATGAGATAATTTTTAATGCTGATGGAATGACACTAATACCGAGTCTGTAAGTGGTGTAGGTCCGGAGTCTTTGTGACTCAGACAGACAGACAAACAGACTGACATAAGGAGCGCAAAAGTGCACTTTTTGTTTTTTGAATGTGAAAGTGCACTAAAAATGGAAGACGAAGACCAAGAGACATTGATATAATAATAGTACAGCAACATAGGATGAAAATCGAGACCTCACGAGGAGATAATAGATATAAGGAGCTGTTCGGGGAGTGATTGCCGGTTTAAGGAAGCTTTATCCCTCAATTTTTTACTTTTTTCCGATTTTTTAGGAAAGCTGAGGGCGAAAATGGAAAAACTCCGGCCGACCGGGCAACGTTCTTGTCTAACATTATTAATTTAACTTGTGTAAAACTTTAGACCCCTATGGAAAAGATTGCCTTTATTTAATAAAGGCAATAAATAAATAAATATATTTGGCTTCTCTATTCCCTTCCAGATTATATTCTTGCAAGGTTCCCAAACTACGCGTTGACAGCTTTCACCACCTCTTAATTCCCATCTGTTCCCACCCAAAAAGCTAAGTTAAATTCTACCCAAAGATTTTGCAGAAAAACAATATGGTTTGTGAACGATTAATTAGTAAAGAACTCTTGATGAAGTGAATATACTTGATCTGAATGAAAGAAGAATTAATTGGTTGTACATACATATTTCCAACATTTGCTTTCACCAACTTTTTTTAAAAAAATTTCTATCAAAGACTATTTAACAAGATTTAAATTAGATACCCCAACAAGATTTTCAACAAAATTCGCCCTTAATGAGCCACGCCATTGGCATAATTAACTTACTTTATAACACCCCTAAAGCTACCCCTGATCGGTAGTTTTCCGACCTTTAGAATTGGAAATCTTTGAGTTTACTACACACTCCCTGATCCCTGATCTTGTGTAATTGTGGCCTGAACATATCAATGACAAACTTTACATAGTAAATTAGTAATAATAATTCTAATTAAGATAAAATCGTATTCTTCGTATATATGCAGCTTTTGTAACCTATCATTCGGAGGAATCACCTAATCTCGTCCGTTGATTAGTCGCCTCTTACGACATGTAGTGTCTCTACAGTAAAATAAGAATAATATTTGCGACTATATAGAGATCCCGTTACATAATTTGCTTCTGTTATTATGAGGATGTAATTAGCGTCATGGCATGGTGCTCATGCAGTCGATGACGATCCACAAGAAGAACAAACAGATTTTGTTTTCTTATTTTATGCAAAGCACAGGGCTGTAGTCAGAGGCTCCGCGTGAGGGGAGTGTATGCAATAAAAAATGCCGACTTCAATAAAAATTCAAAATAATACACCGTACAACATTAAACGACGGCATTTTAACGCTGCCCATTGTGACACTATTTTTTCCAAATGTCTGCTATATTTTTTTCTGATTACTTAGAACCAATAAGGCAGTTAGCCAATTATCCGCCACAGAGGAACGCAAATGATTTTTAATTAAACTATATAATAAATACCAAAGTAATAATAATAATTATTATTTTATCATTTGTCATTATACAGAGTGCTCTTTTTTCGCGGCTGTCATGGATATGGATTCTATTTCATTTCTATTTGCACGAAAACCGAGTCGAAGTGGGACGTTTAGAAGACTTTTACAGAGGAATTTGATAAATATGGCGAGAATGGCATAGAACTTTTTTTTTGCTTTAGGGTCGCCAAATTTCATCTTATGATCTTTCATCAGAGTTATTTTTCTCTGATGTGCCATAGCTTTTAATTTACTAAATTTGATTTTACCAAAATACCTTATTATTCAATTTTCATCAAACTCATTTGCTGATTTGCTTTGGTAGTTTACATTTATAATCAAAATATTTAATAAAAATGTCGTTTTAAATGTAGTAAAGCGTCCTTTTGGCAATATTTTATTATATATTATTATTAAGTTAAAAGTAGTAATCTATCCGAAACCGATTTTTGTCTAAAAGACACTCTCGTGACAATTGAATAATTAAGTGTTATATTTAAAATGTAATATAGAAATCCATAGTAAATTCTTTATTAAAAAAATCTAAAAATTCAATGTGACCCCTACGTTCAAAACAAATTCAAAAAATAATGTCACAGTCTAAACCACCCATTTCTCAAGTAGGTATACTCGTTTTTTTTATTAAAACGCAGAATTCAGTTCTTTTTAATTATTGAAACTAAAAGAGTTATCCCACAAGTGGTTTCAATTATTGATTCGCAATTTAAATTTAACTTTACCCCAATTTCACCATTAGTTTTCAACACAAGAGATCCCATCGTCAGGCGCTAAAAATGCCCACCCTGTATACTTATCTACCATCTATCCCTATCGCAACTTTTAGACCCATGCAAACATAACGGCTAGAAAAATTTGCGAAACATTTTTAAGCGACCTTTAACCATGAAAGGTAATATCAATGAGACTTACAGCAAGTGAGGGCGTAATAACCAATATTTCTTCATTTTGCGTGGAAGCGGAGGCTACAAAACGGTTTTCCGTCGTACCGACGTATTTTACGCAATTTTTTTCCAATATTAATTTAATTAATTTAATTTGAATAGCGATTTGCCAAGTGCCGACTAACTGAAGTTTTGCCGACTATGGTCACGCGTTGGGGGGAGGGGCCCTCCCCCATCAATCCGGCCCTGGCAAAGCAAGAGACGAAGTGTAAAATTCTCATTAAAATGTTAATTACACACAATTTGCTTTATTGAATGTAAAATACTTATCAAAGTAATACCCGTTAACAGTAAAAATACGGTACCAGTAAAGCAGTAGTTTGTGAATCGTGAGTAAAGTATGGTATCGCTTCTTGAGGTGCTTGAGGGGACTCCACTCTGGGGCCCTCATGCACTGTGACATGTGACTTAACCTCACATGATTCCTAATAAGGTTTTTTGAAGCACCAGGAATCCGAATCAAACAAAATTTCGATGATGTCATTTCCGGCTGAACCGATTTAAACCAAATTTTGTACCTGCACATATTCTTTGACATAAAAGGGCAGAATCGCGCAACCGAAGATGTGCGGGCGGTACCTGTGCTAGTCAGAGCAAATTTTTTGTTACTCTTTCATTAATTAACAGAACAAGACTCTCAGGAACGCAATTCTTTACTGGGTTTTCTGCTACAAATAATGCAATAAGTGTTTGCCTATTTTCATTCTTGTTTTCAATTTGAAAATTAAACAACCAGAGGTTTAGCTCAGTGAGGGCCGGTTTGTGTAAATACATTTGTTTCTACAGACTTTCTTTTCTAAAAACACCGCCAATTGTTCCGGATTGTGACATGTTTTCATAATTTTGGAACCTCTCTGCTATTCCCTATGACTGGGGGTAGTATATCTTAATAATATTTTTTCATTGTGTATTGAATAAACCACTTATTTGTGTGCTCCCCATTATGATTTACTCTATGGCATTATGTAAATTGTAGGGTATAAGGATATAGTATTCGTAGATTATAGAGCAAGATCAATATAATTTAAGTCTTTAAACCCCAATGGAATGGAATCTAGTTAAAGCGTCTTCCGAGTTTGAGTACGTATAACTTACTGATGTTTATGACTTTTCGATTGATGTACCCTGTTTCCTGAGATATTGTGGGCTATCTTATTTCATATCAAGTTTCCCTGCGACATGCTTTTCCGGTAGAATATGACCCATAAAACGTTATCTAATGCGTTTGTTAAGCAAACTCTCTTTTATACGCACGCGTTCATTATTAAGCGATGCCGATTGAACTTTAATTATAATAAGTTCCACGCAGCAATAAATGTGACCACTTAATCACAAGAAAATGTAAACACGCGCAAATCAATTAGCTTCAGCCATACTACACGGCGGTTTTGAATAAACTTTATCGTCCATAAAACTCATTGACGACCGTATATTAAGAGTTCAAGACTTTACGTCCCTCCTAATTTAAAGAAAATTTGCTTTTAAAAATAGATTTCAATATAGTGCGGCACGTGCTGAGTTCTATTTCATTTTTAATTTTGGGAAATCTTTATTTTATTTTTGCTTTATGGCAAAATTGCTTCAAGTGGTGTTATACATGTGCTCGAGCTTCCGATATTAATAAAGTGATTCGGAATATCAATACTTTTTTGTATAAATTTCTACTTGACTCTCAACATGCTGTCCCCAACACAATTTTAATAATTACGACACATGACCCTTTCTAGCTAGCAATATATTATTTAACATAATGACAATAATAACTAATCACATTTACTAAACCGAGAAAATTTCATTACTCTAAGTTACTGGTATTAAATATAACCTGGTTTCGAATGCACTGGGGGGATGTACCAACGTTTACACTTTGTCACTGCAATTGAGACAGTCGAAATGTTGGTAAACACAATCCCGTTTCTTCCTCTTGTTTGGGACGATAGAGTTGTACATTTTTTTGTAAGTACTTAAAACATTCTCTTCTCTCAGAACCTGCTTCTTTTTCCTTTTCAGCATTCTTTCCAACACATCGATTTCCAAATGTAACTGATTGACTATCGTCTTTTGCGTGATGTAACTGTTGCCGTATATTGATGAGATGTCAGCTTCTGCCTGGAATTCTTCTTCGAAATCCTTGACGTCGCTACTCATGGTCACTTTATCTAAACAAGAAGATATGAATTAGAAAAGAATAAAAAGTCATGTTGTACTTACCAGAATTTTGACGAACTTGCGATTTCTCGATCAGCAAAAGTGTTCGTGATGAAACTTTCATCGCCATTTTCGGAATACGATTAATTGGAAACTACCAGTGCGAATGAATTAATTCGACTGCGAATTCGAATATTTATAGGTACGCTTCAATTATGCTAATTATTTTATCATAAATAGTTTTGGGTGCAGCGTAATAAATATAATGAATCTGGTAATTATAACGATTTACATATTTAGGAATTATTGAAATTAAATCTATTTTACCTCCATCAAAATGCTGATTACGTACTCAATGTAGCGTATGAACAAAAATAATGTTACACGAAAATCTCAAAGCAATCAAAATGGGATTTAGTAACTACTTTCACCAAATTATGACAACAAATTCTTCTTAACTTAGGTTTCTGTTAAATACTTAATTACTACTTGTTTGGTTTATTGAACTCACCTACCAACCAATCATTCTTGGATTTTACTCAAAAGCCTATTCAGTGTTTTCCGATGCTTAGCAACCTCCAATTTCCTCTTTTGTTTTAAGCTGCAGATATCAAAAGAATTAAAGTCGGTAGTTGTTTTTGGAAGATGGGTGGACCATCTTAAAGAACTCTTAAGGCTACAACCTAAAACTATTTTCGCAATTGCAGTTGTTATAGAGGGTAATTTATATCAAAGTTGCATTTTTTAATTAAAAAATATAATCCCCTGCATATTATTGCATATTTCGATTCCTTGCTCAATTTAGTTATATGGCTTTATTTGTTACACATGATAACTAAAAGGAGTCGTTTATCCGTTTTTTAAAAAGAGGACGTCCAATAAAAATTGGGTATCGTTATCTTCAATAAGGGATATCCAGGCTGATTCAAATTCGAGGGCCACCATGAGGATCTCGGGAACTGTAAGAGATAGATAGGTAGTTTAAATTTGGCAAATTTGCGTATTTTGATGCTTAACAAAATGCAGTTTTGAAACTTTTTTCTCTCTACAAGATGATAATTTCAAATTTTAAATCCGACGTTCCGTCTCCGGTCAACCATCATCAACTTTGTTTTTTTTTATGGAAGTAATTTTTACTTTTTGTGTCATTTGATGGAGAATTCAAAAGAGAGTTCAAAAATATAAACATCACAATTTTTTTAAATTATTAAAATATTTTCTTTTTTGCCTAGAAACGTACGTAGTTTCTTGCGTTTTTATAAATTAATGGCGCTATTTATGATTAAAAGATAGTGATGTTTACATTTTTGAAATCATCTCCATCAAATGACACAAAAAGTAAAAATTACTTCCATAAGAAAAAAAACAAAGTTGATGATGGTTGACTGGAGACGAAACGTCAAACTTAAAATTTAAAAGTAGCACCTTGTAGAGGAATAAAAGTGGCCATAATAATGTATCACTAACTTGCTTTCAATTCCAAAGATTGTGAGCTATTGACATACGGTTATCTGCAACAAGCAAGGACGCAAAGTTGTTAATCAATACGACGAAGTGGTTGCAACAGGAAGTATTGCTGGGAATTTGTTCAAGTTGGATCAATCGAATGGGCCATCTTTGTCACAGCAATGTGAAAAAGGCTGAACATCTTGTTAAGGGGATCGATCATGCCACTTTGAATATTTTTTAGTGCACTGCATGTTTAGTGGGTAAGATTCCTCGTTGACAATTTAATAATTTTGGTTCAACAGCAACATGTTTACTTGAACTGGTACACGCTGACGTTTGCGGTTCCATGGAGGAAATTTCGTGGAACGGTTCAAGGTATTTACTTGCGATTGTTGACTTCTCAAGAAAAGTGTTTGGTTTTTCTTCAAATACAAAAGTTTGGTTCCAAACAAAATTGAACATTTAAAAGAAGAAATGAAGAATGGCTTGGTAGAAAGAATGAACAGGACCTTAATAGAAAAGGCAAGATGCATGCTGATTCATTCCAATTTAGGTTGAAGCTGTGAATTCTGAGTTGTATTTCATGAATCGTTTACCATGTAAAGCTGAAAAGAAAAACACCAGAAGAAGTGTGGTCGGGGAGGAAACCAAATGTGAAAAATTTGAAAGTTCTTGGATTTGCTTTTTTTGGGGCAATTCATAATCTAAACCTAAAGGAAAAGAGGCAGAAACTTGATCCAAAGGAGAAAGAAATGATGACCGGGTCAAAAGCAAGAATTTTACCTCAAAAAGAGCTGTCACCTTGAAAAATTTAATTCATAGAATCTGATGATTGATATTACTTCCTTATACAGTGATTTTTAACAGGGTTCCTACAGAAGTTCCCAAAAATCCCTGCGATGGAAAATTTACAGAACCCAATTGAAATATGACAATTTTGTAGTATTCAAATTTGAAACTAGTAATCCCAACTTTCAGAAACGGCCTTACTTCTTCCACAGTGTAGCTGTAGAGAATTAGCAAAAGGGAGGACCTCGGAGGAGACCTGCGAAGGGTGAGTCTAAAAAGGAAGATGGTGTAGCGGTCGGTGCTTTTGGATAACTGCTCAGCAATGACTGTCCATCTTGTCTTCAGAATGAGGTGAGTGATAACGTATTTTGGGGGAGAAAGAACGTATTTTGGGAAGTGCGACGAGAAAAGATCGGTGTTCACAATGAACAAAACAATGGCTGACGCCATCATTTCGAAGACAGGTTCTAGTGATTCGGACAGTGTAAACATGTCGGGAGAAGTCAATCCACGCGGTCACGTGCGTTACCATTTGGACTGCTTCAGAATATTTAAACCTGCTTCACTGCATCCTGGAAAGCATGTTGGTAAAACCACGCAGTGAGCCTTTGAGAGGCTGTGCAGAGAGCATGAGGGAGATCCAGACTCAGATTTCAGTGTCTCAATTAACGAACGGGCTAAAGCAGGTAAAGCGGACGGTTACTTTATCCCAAAGAAAAATTGAAAAGGAGATATGGAGACCAAGCACTGATTTTGAGGGCAAGAATAGTGTTTTTCGCTACAAATAAAAATTGTTTTTAAGTCGTGTGGCATGTATCTAGGAGACCAGGACAAGATGAAAGAAAACAAATTGTGAAGGCAGCAGTAAAAATAAATAGTCAGGCAAGACATGGGGTTACACGCATTGGACACCGCTCCCAAAAGTACAACCTATACCAAGATCTCGACGAGGAAGACCTTGATCCAGACTCATTCCATGATTTCCTGGGTATCGCGAGACCATCGCTCAGGTAGTGATGCAAGTGTCTCGCCCACGGTCCTTTATTGCTCTAATTTTGCTGAGTTTAGGCGCCTGTTTGGATCAGAAACAGGGCTGCCGTCTTCTGATACACACACTGCACAGCCTGGGAGTTTACGGCGAATTTTGAAGAGGTTCTACACGGATGAATTTAAGAGTGTTGTTACTCCTATGGATGTCAACCAAAATTATCCAAGGAGTTCTAATCATCTCCCGAGGAAGAAATTAATGAGATGAAGGGACTTACTTATCAAGAGCTGTCTATTATACGCAGCAGAAATCAGAAGATCAGATATCTCGTACGCAATTGGACCTTTGTCGAAGTTCAACAAAAATCCAGGAAAATTTCACTGATCAGCGGTCACGCGTGTTTTTCGTTACATCGAAGGAACTTTGCACTTTAAGTTAGGGTTCAAGAGAAATGCGGAAGGCGTGAAAGCTTTCACCGACGCTGATTGGGCTAACGATTTGGATAATCGACGATCAACCACTGGTTACAGTTTCATTTATCAAAATGGAAGTATCGCATGGAGTTCCAAGAGTCAGGAAGCCGTAACCCTATTAACTACTGAGGCTGAATATATGTCAATCTCCCTTCGTCGTCGGAAATTTGTAAGGCAGAAAAACCTTGGAATTTGTACTCTAACAACAGAAGTGCTATAGATTGGCATACAACAATGTGCATCACACACGGTCAAAACATATTGATATTCGCCACCATACTTTGTGAAGGAACTTAAGGTACCTACACACTTAGAGGTGCACCTGTCAATTCTACCTGTCGAAGGTGACCTGTCAGATATACCTGTCAAAACAACTCTTAATCCACCGTCCATTTCAGTTGGTTAAAAATGTTTGAGAATGGAGCAATCTACTGTGGACAACTGATAGGTCGACCCAGGAATTCATATGCGGCAGGTGCACCTGCGACCGCCGACCTGTTGACTTTGTCTGCAAGCGTCAGCTCACTTGACAGTTACGGAAAGTGACAGTTTTTACTCATGCATATTCCCCGGTCGGCTTGACAAGTCACCTGCGACAGATAGAAATGCCAGGTGCATCTGTAGGTGTGTACTGTCTAACTCAATCATATTCGTAGTGAAGATATAGACATATTAACCAAGCTTCCGATAAAATCATTCACGAAATTCAGAGATATTTTGGGTGTCACAAAGTTTAGTTTTATGGGAATGTTGGAGAAAGAAACTTAATTTTGTTTGTTTTTTCAATTAGATCAAGTTAGTTTTCACAAATAGATACTTGACTTCTTGATTATTATTGTTCTCTTGGTAACAAATTACGGGTAATTACAAAATCATCAAACCAATAATGAGTCGAAAAGTGTAAGATGATTACGTCTATTGATCATTCTCGATTCGATCTGCACCCACAATCTAATATAGCAATTCTGAAATGAATGTTGACTTCAAAAACACAGGCCTGTTGATGAATTTTATAGTCCTTGTGAACAGTTAGTCGGTTTGTTTTCCAATTAGCAACCTCATTAAGGTTTAATACCTATAATGTGCAGAAATTAAGTGAGTCATCATTTCAAAATATTCCATCTGCAGTTATACAATGTGCCAATAATGTATGGAAAGCAATTAATCTTTTATCGCATTTAATAAGTTTATTGTGAACAAACAAAATCGAAATTGCTGCGTAAAAATTAAGTCTTTCAAGCTCAACCTTCCCCATTAAAATTGATTAAAGTGGACCAAAGTTGATTGTGTAGATTGACAATAATTGGTGAATGTTGTTGATGAAGTAAAATTATACTTTACGTGCTATTAGTTTCGGCATTATAGTTGCAGGCTAAAAAGTAAAACAAAGTTTAAATGTGGACTAACTACCCGAAGGGGTTAAATAAATTAATTGATGAAATGTTGTGGTAGATGAAAGTGTGAAGTCTCAGAACAAAAAACAATTGGTGTATGATCTAGATCAGTTTATAAAATACCTACTTACATACGAGGGTGAAATTTGGTTATTAATAAAATTGAAAGTTGCATTTAATAAATTGATCCGTAAAAATTAATTGCATTGGGCATAGAAATGTCAATGGTTCACAAAGGAGGAGAGGAGACCAATGTTGTTTACGACCGGTTTGATCAATGTAAAAGGTTTCACAGGCATATAAACATCTGTCAATTTTATCTTATAGGTATGGACGA